GGATCTTTGTGGGAGAGTGGGATAAGCTTTTGGGATTTAGGAGATGACATGACCACGGTAGTTTAACAGATGTTTTTTTTTCCTGTGGTCACCTTATACTCAGAATGAGTCCTTAAGAGAGGATGTTCTGTGTTGTTTTGCTTAAGCTGAGAGCTAGCTAAAGTTTAGGGGTCTGTGGGGAGGAGATAAGCTTGACTAAACTTTGAACAAGTCAATAGGTAAGTAACGGGCATTTGTGAACACTTGGCCAGAATTAATGTAAAATCCTTTTGGGTTTATGACAAATATATTGTTAGATCAGGTTCTGGAGAATTCCTTTTAGATATTAGTAGATTTACCATATCTCTGTAAGGCAGTGAACTCTTTCTAGATACTGGGGATAAACTTAGTTATATTGCTCCTGTTCCCAAGGGGCAGAGATCCTAGTTGAAGTAGAAAATATATTTTTGAAAATGCTAATATCAAAAAAGTGGTAAAGACTGTAAGAGCTCCACCTTTTCAGAAGGAAAGCTGAAGCAATTGGGAAGATTCATGGAATAGATAACATTTGAATCTGGCCTTGAAGAACTTGCTTGTTGGGATAATGAGAGGGAAGTATGGAGTGGGCAGCAAAATGAACACGCTGTGGTGATGTAGTATGATGTGCTCACAGTCAGTGTGTTCCAAGCCAGTTTGTATGATGCAGAGGCTATAAAATTAAGTTAGAGTCTTAGGTAGAAGTCACCTGGTGGTGGCCTGAAGTATTGAGGCTTTTTATTTTAGGCAAAGGAAATCAGAAAGCTGTTTGAGTTGGATAAAGTAGAAGTATTAGAAGTGGAAAATGGATGGGAGAGTGTTGAGATCACTTACTATTAAGGTAGTTCAGGCATAAGGTCATGAAGGTCTAGAGTAGGATAGTGGTTCCGAAAATGGAAAAGAGGCAGATTTAAGGACATGCTAAAGAAGAGTCAGCAAGACAGTATTTGGCAGACTGGGGGAAAAGGGAGGTGTCAAAGAGGGATCCACTGTGTACCTGTAAGATTAGGAAAATGGTACCATTGACTCTTGAAGATATTTTTTTTGGCAGGTTGTGGGGGAGGTTATGAATTTAATTTAATGGATGGAAGAGATGGCCAACAAGAAGTTATAGGTGCAGTACTAAAGGTTAGGTTGGAGATGATGATGATTTGAAAATTACCTGAATAGAGTTGACCAGGTGAACTTGCAAATGTTCTCTTCTGTACTTTGCATTTCTGGAACAAGAGAGAATCTTGGGGATACCCATATTTGAGAAGTGGGAGGAGGATTTGAAACTAAAAGGCAGATGAAGCATGACCAGAAAACCAAGAATAACAGTGTAGTATAAGGAGAATTCTACATTGGTAGGGATATGGTCAACATTGTTGAATGCTACATAGAGGTCAAAAATAAGGACGGAGAAAAGACCATTGGATTTGTGTGCTTCTGGAGACTTGGAGAGAGCAGTTTTAGTTGAGTGATAGATGGGAAGTTAGTCTAAGTTAGACTAAGATGGTGGTATGAAGTGTATTCAATATTGTAAGATTTTGTGGTTAGGAGAAATATAATTCTCTCGGTGGTAGCAAGGTTAGTGTTAATAGAACAAAGTTTTTTGATAGCAGGGACTTGGCAGGATCCATTGAAGATACAAGAAATAGGGAATAATCCATAGAGCAAAGTTGCAGAGAGGAAGTAGGGAGACTGAATCAAAGTATTGCTTTAACCATAAAAGGGAGAAAAGGTAACTTGTCATTTGAGACTGAGGACAAGATAAAGGAGGATAGGTGGGATATATAGAGATTTTTGAGAAGTTTAAATTAAGATGTTGGGGATAATGACATTTACCTTGCTCCCTGCCTCACTGAGATTATTTTAGGAGATGATCCGAGACGGGAGGATTCAAAGCATGGAATTTGTCTTCAGGAAAGCAGAAAAAGTTTAGAAAGGCTACTAGAGAAAGTTTGGTAGGAAGTTAATAAAGGAAAATGAGGATTCCTAAGCACCTATGCGGGTTCCACTGAAGGGATATGTTGGCAGATATTTGGGTTATCTGGCTATTCGGAAGTTAGAAGGTAAGCTCTTTGGAATGAAAGTTAATGGAATGCATGGCATATATGCTATAACTAGGGGTGTGTGTGTGTGTGGATCCAGTGTATTTCTTTCATAGATTAAAACAATATTACAAATCAAATTATACCTTTCAGATATCCCATTTAATATATTGCTGAATATCTATTGGTACCAATATCTATTGGTTGTAATATTGTAGAAAGTTATTCAAGTATCAGAAAGGTGGTTAGGGTGAACCCTGGGATTTCCTTTTAATAGTTGGTAGGTTTACATAGTGTTCTTTCTTTATTTTTTTAAAAAAAGATTTTAAAGTAATCTCCACACCCAACATGGGGTTCCAAACTCATAATACCGAGCTCAAGAGTCACATGCTCTACTGACTGAGCCAGCCAGGCACCCCTACGAATAGTCCCTTAGAAATCTTAATTATAAGTAGTACTGCTAAATTAAAAGAAGTTAACTCGTCCCCTCATCCCAGCCCTTTTTTTTATCCCCTTGTACTTAGAAGGCTTTTGAGGTCTTAAATGATCAGAAAGGTTCTTTGGATTTTGTAGACTAAATGTTCAGTAGAAATATTAATGTTTGACTTGAAAGTCATAGACAGACTTAACAGATGTAGCTAATACCTGATGCCACATACAGGTTTGGTACACAGTTTTCCAAGGATAGTGCCATAAAGAAAGGTGCTCAATAAATAATAGATTATTATCACTCTTGGATTTTAAATTGTAAGTGCTCTCAGGCAGTTGCTTAGCCCTGTGTAGTACTTAGCATTGTGCCCTTAACTAATAGAGACCTTTTTCCTGATTTTTAAAATTGGCTCATAGCATGAAGGGTTCAATATAAGACACTGTGAGTACTGATAAATCGTTGTGATGAATGAAGCCTTGAAATTAGTTAAAAGTGAATCTGTGAGGGAAATTTATTAATTTGCCAATAGCAGTATTAGATACACGGAATAAGCAGACAGGGCTCTTAGTCACTTTTCTAAAAAGCTATCTACCTGTTTGTTTTTGACTAAGACAGATGGATTTAAGCTTAGGTAGTAGAGAAATTAATGTTATGCTTCTAGATGACAACCACTTGGCAGCCATAATCCATAAAGTGGATGAACATTACTTTTTTTCTTTATACTTTTTTGAGCACCTTAATTTTTTTGAAATTAATTTCTTTTTTTTTTTTTAAAGATTTTATTTATTTATTCATGAGAGACAGAGAGAGAGAGGCAGAGGGAGAAGCAGGCTCCCAAGGAGCAGAGAGCCCGATGCGGGACTTGATCCCAGGACCCTGGGATCATGACCTGAGCCGAAGGCAGACGCTCAACCATCTGAGCCACCCAGGCGCCCTGAAATTAATTTCTTAAAAAAGAGATAGTGATTACTTTTAAATGGTACTTGGTATTGCCTTTGGATGACACAGTTTTAGACTTTTAGTTAAGTAATTGTGAGAGAAGATTATGTACATTATTGCATAACTCTGGTATTATTTTTCCTTCCCTCATTTGTATTCTTCATCGCAGCCTTTAGATCTGTGCTATTCTATATGACCGCTTGTCTCTTTAAATTTAAATGAATTAAGGTTAAATAAAATTAAAGATTTAATTTCTCAGTCACACTAGCCACATTTTAAGTGCTCCCTAGCATGTGGCCAGTGGATACTGTATTGCCCAGTGGAGAGTGTATTTCTATCATCCTAGAAAGTTCTTTTGGAAAGTTGTACTCTAGATCTTTAATTACTAATGATGTCAGGAAAGTAAATGTCAGGAACTTGGAATAGATACTTGAAAACTCCCAAAACCATAGAATTTATACAAGTTCAATCCTAACAGCTTCAGCCTTCTCAAAGTTTAATATTACTTCTTTAGGATAGGCTTTATATTTAGTTTTGATATTAGGTCTTATTCAGAGGTCATTCTGATAATAATGTAAAACGGAATAAAATAGTTGTGTCAAGAACTATCTCTGCCAGATTGTTTATTTAACAAGTTTATTAAGATATAGTTGATAATACAATAAAATGTGCATATGGAAAGTGTATTTAATAAGTTTTGATATATATACCTCTCACGAACCATCCTCATAGACATAATATACCTGTTAACCACAAGTTTCCTCATGCCTCTTTATAATCTCTTCCTGTATAATCCCTGTTCTTTTTTACCCTCTTTGTCCACCTCCAGACAACCACTGATCTGCTTGCTGTCACAATAATTTGAATTCTCTACAATTTTATATAAATGGAGTCATTCATTCTGTACTTCTTTTTTTGATCTGACTTCTTTCACTCTGCATTATTTTGAGATTCACATGTTATATGAGAGTCCATGTTACATGTACAAATAGTTCATTACTTTGTATTGTATGGATATATTACAGTTTGTTCATTCCATTAGTTTGTTGATGACATTTGTGTTGATCCCAGTTTGGCCTTATTTCATATAAGCTGCTATGAACATTTATGTATAGGTCTTTGTATTGACATATGCTTTTATTTCTCTTGAGTAAATACCTAGGCATGGAATGGCTGGATCATATGCCAGGATGTATGTTTAACCTTTTAAGAAACTGTCAAACTCTTTTCCAAAGTGGCTGCACCATTTACATTCCCCCCCGAGTAGAGTGTGAGTGTTCCACTGGCTCCATATCCTTGTGAATTCTTGGTATGGCCAAACTTTTTAATTTTATGTGACAGACTGTTTTAATAAGAAAAGACTGTCCTAGTAGAATTATTTCTTTGCTCTTGCAACTTTTTGTATTTAAATGCTGCAAAAATAGTATTTTGTTTGTGAAGACTTTAAGACAGTCTTCTATAGAAGATTCATTTACTCTTATTTTTGATAGTATTTGTTCACTAATGCTGATTTGAAACTCAGTTTATAGGAACCATTACATTTCCTTTCTTTTTACTTACATATTTTTCTTTTTTTGTTCTAGCGGCCCCTTTGTTGCTTTATGCAAACAGACGGGACTTGCGATTGGTTGATGCTACAAATGGCAAAGAGAATGCTACGATTGTAGTTGGAGGCTTGGAGGATGCAGCTGCGGTGGACTTTGTGTTTGGTCATGGCTTGATATACTGGAGTGATGTCAGCGAAGAAGCCATTAAACGAACAGAGTTTAACAAAACTGAGAGTGTACAGAATGTTGTTGTCTCTGGATTATTGTCCCCTGACGGGCTGGCATGTGATTGGCTTGGAGAAAAATTGTACTGGACAGATTCTGAAACAAATCGGATTGAAGTTTCTAATTTAGATGGATCTTTACGAAAAGTTTTATTTTGGCAAGAGTTGGATCAACCCAGAGCTATTGCCTTAGATCCTTCAAGTGGGTAAGTTTTGTGCAATGTACAAAGCCTATTGCATCTGTTTTCTGTCCGCTAGCATAGACAACCCCCCCAACCCCAAGAGAAAAGAAAGATCAAAAACCAAATTTTAGATTCTTTGAGCTTCTTTGTCAAGTAGACTTGAACGTGGGAAATTATGTTGTGGTCTTAAAGTAAGATGTTTCTGTAAATATTGTAATAATTGTGTTTCTAACATCACTTATGGGATAGCCAGACATAGAGTTCTTGGTTTGTTTTCTGCATTTAATAATTATGAGAGGATAATTAGAAGGCAGAGAAGAAGGGATGAAGACCTAACAAGTATTTGATAGCTCAAGACAACAAAAAAATCTTACAGATCTTACAACTGTTAGTGTATATGCAATCATTTTGTTATACTAGTATCTTTTTATTAAACTCTGAAGTATTATTTAATATGTCAGTATTGAATGACAAATAAAAATTAAGTTGTTAAAGAACTCATTTCTAGTTAGTTAAGCATATATTTGCTGTAAAGGTTTATTTTCTAATGAGAAGGGAAGCTTAAAGCTATGGGTAAATCCCATTAGAAAATGTGAACTGTGTCATGTTACTATGCTTCACTTCTGCTATATACCATTCCTTGATACTTGTTTATTGAATATGTTGTTATGCCAGAGTCTGTCATGGTAGATAACTAAACATTAACCTGAAATGAGTTACTCATAATTGTTTAAAATGTAAAGATAAGTAACCTGCAAATAACCATTTTAACACTTTGTTTTCTTTGACTTTCAAGTATGTTGGAATGTTTTAAAACACATTTATAGAAGGGAGTGGATTAATAGTATGTAATAGAACGTGAGGAAAAATGAAAGGAAGGTTTATGTGTTCCTTTGTCTTGATATCAGGCCTTATTTGGTGACAAAGTTTAAAGAAGATGCCATGTTGTAGGAAAATTAAAAGATTTGTCTGTCCATGAAAGATAATGTGGGCAACAGTGTAGTGAAACTTTAGGGTGAGAAGTTCTGGAACACCCACATGTATAATTTATATAATATATAAAAAATTATATATTTTTTAGAGGGGCATTAAGAAGTATCTGCTAAAGTCAGATGGTCTTTTAATAAAGCATCAGAAAATATAGTGGCTCTTGTGGTAGGAAAAAGTGTTGACTGTCCCAAGGAGGAGGTCAGAGATATTGGATATGCAGTAAACCGTACTGATGAAAAATTGGGTTGTTGAGAACTTGCAGGATATTTTTGAGAAATGGAATCTGTGTTTTGCCAACAAAGTTTGAGTCGCAGAGAGTATTGAAATGTTTGTGAGGTTACTGCTTTATAGAACATGGGGTTTTGGTGCTTTCAGTGGTCATTAGGGAATAGTACTTTGGAGAAAAGAGAAATTTTTTTTTTAAGATTTTATTTATTTATTTGACAGAGAGAGAGAGAGAGAGATCACAAGTAGGCAGACAGGCAGGCAGAGGGAGATGGAGAAGCAGGCTCCCCTGAGTGTGGGGCTCGATCCCAGGACGCCGGGATCATGACTTGAGCCGAAGGCAGACGCTTAACTGACTGAGCCATCCAGGCGCCCCAAGAGAAATATTTCTTAAAAAAATTGTTTTTGACAAATTTAATCTTATTAACTGTAAGGGCGATGATGGCAATTTAGCCAACTGTCTTTTAAATAGTATGTTCAGAGGTCTGCTTTTTGTACTCTTGTTGGGGAGAGAGGGGGAATATCTTTAAGGATTTACAGTCTAAGGACAGAAAACTTGGATGAGAGAACTTTTCCTTCTTCAAAAGCATGTTTATTTGTATTATATAGTATGTATGTGGAGAGAGGAAGAGTGTTAAAGGGAATTGGAAGAGCCACAAGAGCTCCTAAGGAGGATGGGTGGATAAAATTGCTTGATTACCACAATTCCAGAGCAGCATCTAAATCATTTCTACAAGTGATAATGCTTTTATGATAGTACATATTCAAGGGAGTTGAATTTATAGGTAATTCTTGACTGTTCAGGATCGAATCATCTAATGATTAAATGAATCATTCTCATTTCGTGCCCTAAACTAATGAGCTTTACTTCTGGGTGTCAGGTCTGATAAGTGTCTTAGGAAATAAGTTTACCATATTATTAAAAAATACATTAGAGTTTCTGTGGCTTTAGTTTACCCATGAAACTTCCCAGTATTGAAGGTGAGGAACTGCCAGAGACTCAGCTGATCAAGAATATTACTGGAAGAATCAATAAAAGTGTGCATTAGAGTTTCTGTGGCTTTAGTTTACCCATGAAACTTTCCAGTATTGAAGGTGAGAAACTGCCAGAGACTCAGCTGATCAAGAATGTTACTGGAAGAATCAATAAAAGTGTGCTTTGAAGGTAGAAAGTAGTATTTAAGCTTCTAAGGGATGATCATCGAACACTATTTTTCTTGAGGCCTTAAGTTTTGGTCAAACAGTGAAACATTTTTTTCATTATTTTTGATGTTTGTGGTTTGTGTTGCTTATGTGTATGAATGTGTGTGTAAATTTTCCCTCTCCCCCCCTTCTTAAAATCTTTTTTAATTTTTGGAAAGTTATGTGTCATATGGCTATTTTTAAAATTACACAACTGAAAATAAATAGAATGCAGCCAAATGGTATACATTTTGGTATTTAGCATGATGGAGTGTAAAATTATATTTTAAACTCATGCATTTAAAAATATATTCCGTCAGTCTTCGGTGTTGATCTTAGATTTATGTGGTTTTACTGGAAAAGTAATTTTAGATTGAGTACATCACTTATCAAACAGAAGAGATGATTTCCAGATTTATTTTTGCGGGGAGAAATGAAGTTTACTTTCCAGAGAAAGTACATGAAAACAGTGCTGAAGAAAAATGTAGGCTTTATCAGAGTTCCAGTATCCTGGGTTATAAGGTTCAGAAGAGCTGACTGAACTCTCTCACATCAGCTTATGTAAAAGGAAAGCCATTGAATGACTGGTATTGTTTGAGCCCTGGGAACTAGTGCAGACATCTGTGTGCTTTCGGATGTATGGAGTTCTTTGTGTAATCAGTCCATTTAGACTGAAGGAAGATTTTTATTTCCCTCCCTAAATTTGGCCTCTGTTAGTCTGAGATTTTTTTTTCCTTTTGAGTGATGGCAGTGTAGAATTCAGAATAAGGAACAGGAAAACGTGTGTATAGAAATTGTTCCAGGAGTGAATAACCATAGTTATAGGAAGCAGTATCCTTATAGTGAGAAGGTAATTCCTGACTATTTGGCTGCTGTACTTGTGGAGTTTCTTAGTCTGTTCCACAGCTACTGTACTACTCTTAGTGATGTTGAGGGCCCCTGTTTCAGGTACAAATAAAGTAGTTTTAAGGGGTTTTTGTTTGTTAAGGATCTGTTCCTATTCCAAATTGTTTTGGATATTTTTTTAAAAAGTTAAACTTTAGTGATTCAGTCTGAAGTGAATTCATACTGAACAGCTTTGAAAGATACTTATTTTTAAAATACATTTTTATCATCTTTAAGAATAATATTTATAACACTAGAGTTCTGCTTTAAAAATCCTTGCAGAACTAACTCAATGGAAAAAATAATGTATAATTTCCCTAACAATTATATACATATAATTGTCATACCTTGAGTATGTTTAGAGGTATTTTCTACACTGGTGTGTTCCAGATGACTAAAATCATTCCTACCACATAATGGTGTTCAATAAATATTTTTTGAGTGACTGGACCTTATACTTTCTTTCATAATCCTGTTAGTTTTCCTTGTTAGAGGAGAAAGTGTTTTCTAAGCAAATACAAATTTTAGCATTATCTCATGAATTCTACCCCAGTATGGTTTTGATTACAGTTGTTTATTTAAAACATATTTAAGATTTTTAGTTTTTTCAGCTCAAGTTTTCAAGATAATAGAGCTTGTTTTATGTCACATTTGCTCTCTTATTTACCAGCAAGTCACTTCATTCTTTCGGACTTCAGTTTTCTCATCTCTAAAATGAGGATGCCTTTTAGTTTTGAAATTAAGTTTAAAAAGTGAGGTATTTAAATATCGATTTTTAAATTTTTATTTTACAGTTACACATTATGGACATTATACAAGTCCCTAATTTAGGTATGCTACACTTAGAATGTGTTTCTGCGGAACAGATTCTTAAAATTTTGTTTCTACTGCCCTTATTGTATAGGTCATCATACTCAACCTCTTTTTATGGCTCTTTGACCCCTAAAACCAGTTTGCTGATTCCACTGGATGTAAATTAGAAAATACTTTAAAATGTCAGAAGATTCTTTTTGTTTGAAGAATGAGAACTGTAGCCAGTTACTTTCAGGCAGATTATATAGATTCAATATAGTTTGGAGGTGGGGTTTTTGAGATTATCCCAAATTTAAGAGCAATGTGTTAGAAAAGCCACTAATCCAGGAAGTCTGGATTAGTGGCTTGGCTTTACCAGCCTCTGGGATATGATTCAAGGCCCTTGAAAATGGAAAAACAAACAAACGAACAATTTTTTAAGAATAAGTAAGTGTGTGTATATATGTATATTCTTAAATGTTAGTGTAGGGTTTTTCCCTTTACTTAAAAAACATCTTAACCCTCATCCAATTTTTAGTTCTTTATATCTATTGATATCTATTACCCTGTCTTAGACTGAGTTGTAATTATGTAGTCAAGTTTTTTTATGTCCCATATCTCCAGGCCCACTTTTATTGAAGGAACACTGAAAGGGAATATTTGTAGTATAACTAATGACTTTACCTAGCCCTGTCTCTTAATAGCTTTGCTTTTTAAATAAAAGCTTTCCTTGCTTGCAGCACTGACCTTTTAATTCAGCCTTAGCAGAAAGAAGAATGAAATTTTGTGAGATTCAAGAATAGAATACCTTTAACTGAGTATTGGCTCTCTGTATTTTGGTGATCTTATGTACCCTTGCTGTATTCCACTGTGACTGGCTCTTTAGAACTGTAGTTAAATTAGTTTTGACTGGCACCAAGTATTTGTGCCATTGAGCCTTTAAGATTTTG